GTATCAGAATACTGTGGCTCTTGTTTCATCAGCAGTGACTGTTTCATAAAAACATATCTTGTTTCTTTTCCTGACCTTTGACCACCGGGAACAGAAAAAGGTAGATGAAGAATAAAGAAGTATCCTAAATTCCCATTTTTTTTTCAGATTTCCTCCTGATTCTAAGTGTCTCTGTATTCTGTTTCATAGAGCACTGCATTCAAAGACAGGGAGAAAGAGGATTCTTGTAACTCCATGCCAGTTATTCCATATACTGAAAATACTGTAACCCTGCAGATACAAGGTCATGCTCTTAAACTGTTTTAGGCTGAATTCAAACAATCCTGTCTATGTAGTCTGCCTATAAATGAAGAATGTGGAGATTTCCATTACAAGTAACTACCTACTTGTAATTCACATGATATTGTGGTGCATATTTGAAAAAGTTGAGCATATCCTTTTCATCATCCTTGCAATTGCTGCCCTTTGTTGTCTTAGTGTCTTAAATATTTGCTTGCAGACCTATATTCTTGGAAATAAGCCCAACTGAGTTTGATGTAATTATAAAAAGGATTGCAGCACTAAGTATTTTTTTAATCAAAATGATAAAACAAAAACTAACCTTAAAAAGATATTCAAATAAGAGATGTTAACAACACCATTATTTTTATGTACAGTATAAATATTCTGGTGACAATGTGGATGGCAATTTCATTGTTTTAAACTGGAAATTCAGTCTAAGTTTGGTAACATTATTCAACTGGCAGTCATAAGGATGGCAGCAGAATATCATAAATATCATAAAAACCATAACACGTAACTAGCAGCCCAATAAATGACATACCTATTTAACTGGGACAGCTGTAACAAGAGTTCTAGAGTCTCTTGTCTTTAAATAAAGAGTTAAGAGAGTTAAAAGAAACTTTGATCATCTGCAAATCAAAGTAGATAATGAGTAGGTTTTGGCTTCTTATGTGTGGCTTTCAAACTCCAGTGTGACTTCTAAAGCAACAATTAATAGACTGATTGACAGATACCTACAAACCTACACATTCAGACTTAAATGAGTCCTAACATGATTTACAACAGGTTCCTCTTAGTTCCTCTAGTTGTCATATAATTCTTATTATTCCTGACCAACGTAACTAGTATGGCCATGCATTTTGAGAATGATGAGAGTTCCAGCAACACATATGTTGAAGAAGGAGGTCTTACAGCATACATTTATCAAATACTATTCTATTCAAAGAGAGAACACCAAGCCAGGATTTAGGGATAACCAAAAATTCTGATCCATTCATCTTGTGACCAGAACTAATGTTGTAGTGAGTAATCTAGCAAAGAACTTCCTGAGAATTTTGCAAAATTCCTTTTTTGCTGTTATATATTTGGAATCCGTGCTTCCTTCTAATTATCATTTGAAGGCACCTTAATTTTTTTATCAGGAGAGAACTTCCCTAGAATTAGTCAGATATGACTAATATGGCATTTTGGCATTTACTGGAAATTTTTATCTCCTTCTCCAGTACTATTTATAGCTAAGGAAAAACAATGGATAACAGTGGGAGACTTTAGAGAATACAATTCTATGGTAGTAGAAGAAAAAAAATCAATTTATGATGCAATCATAGATGTGGTCGTCCATCCTGACCAGTTCTTCCGAAGTTCGGTAAAGAATAGTATACATCCCAACATTATTACAATGCATTCTTGTGCAATGAGAAGTAATATACTTCTAACTGTATGTGTGAAATTAATACAAGGATATGAAAAACAGAAGTGGTTTCTTAAAATATGAGTTACTGGATTTATTTTTTGACAAAGAAAAATCAATTTGTACAACTAGCCATTATTTAGACCTGAAAATAAAATAATTTTTATTTCACCTTTCTTTGCATGGAAAAGAACAAAGGAACATTGGAGACTTAATTCAGTTTTAATGGTAATAAAAGACATTTTTTAAAATATGTGTTTATTACATTACAGCAGACATGTCAAATGCACGACGTCATGTGACATCGTGCAACGTATCGAGATGGTTTTGCCATTGCCGGCAATGGGGTAGGCGTGGCTTCCGGATGACGCATCTGGCCCATGGGCTGGCAGTTTGATACCCCTGCATTACAGCATACAATATGTATTTTATATGCAGTATTTTAATCTATATTTTATGAAAATGACTTCTTATTATGAAGATGACTTATATATTTAAAAATTTGTGTAGATTATTCCATTAATGTTTACTGCATGTGTTCTGAAACTTTTGCTCGGTCTACTATAACAAAACCATCAATTTCCCAAGTAATTAAATCATAGTATTGGTTTATGGCAAAATTGGACATCCATTGAACACTTTTTGATAATGATTAATTCATTCAGTGATTAATGACAACTTTCTGCCCTAATTAAAGTTCATCAAAAAATTCAATTATTAAAAATTATTAAGTGTTCCAAACTCCTCTATTGTAAAATTCCATTACAAGGGAAGTTTTCTAGAAATCTGCATCAGATATTCACAGCATTAGCATGGTATTATGCAACCCTTTTTCAGTTTGTTATATTTTTATACTCTTATCAATATTATATGACAATTATTTTCTCTTTTTTAGGAAACAGTCCATATTTATTATATGGGCTTAATAGTCAATCCCTGCTTTTAGGAAGCATTAGAGCTATGCAAATGCTTTCAAAAGGTTCGTGCAGAAGCTCATACAAACACTTCTCTTTGAAACATTGAAGCAGCCATATGCAAATTGGTAGAACTGCCTCATTAATTGAATGCACAAACAGTAACAGATTATGAAGCAACTGTGCAAGTGTGGAAAAAAGATATGGCTGTTTTAATGATCTTAAGAAAGGAGGTTTTTTTATGCATGTCTGCTTGTATAGTGCACATCCTTTCTTTCAAAGGATTTGTTGTAGTAGTTGTAGTAGTTCTCAGAGTTGTCTTTTCCACAGCTGCTCACAGAGGCAATTATCTATATTCAGTTTGTGTCTGCTGCTGAGTTAAGATGTTAGAGTGATGATACATAAACAAATATATACAATATCTCTCCTCAAAGCCATGACATTAGGTTTAACAGCCTATAGTAAGTTGGAAAGATTTATCCAAGATTTTTGCTGGTAATTTCATCAGTAAAATATGCTAAGATGTGCCTTGAAGGCGAACTTTGATAGCTTATGATGGTTCGCAAAATTACAATTCAGTTACCAGTCACCCAGAACAGTCTTCTTCAGTGCATATTGTAATTGGCTAGTGGGCATTTCTCCAACTGTCCCGTTGCCTTGAAAGAGTAGCGTCCTGAACACTTAGCATCTAGTATTGCCATCAGGTACTTTATGTCCTTGGACCATGCTGTTCCAGCATTCAAGGAATTAGGGATTAAGACAATTTACTTCTCCAGGGTAAGCAGTGAGTGTAAACAAAATATTCTAGCCTAAGATAGGAATGAATCCGTTATTTTTCATCATCAATGCAGATTTCACTTTATACTAATATAGATAAGTATTCCAACATCTCATGTCAATTCATGAAATGTACAGTAGATATGTTTCCAAGAGAATAGAGAATGTTTTATTGACTGAATTTTTGTTGCTCTCAGTCTACTTCACCATATGCACAGAGTACAGTTCTGATTTAGGAAAGCTTAATGATAGCAACTATATCAGCCTTTAAGCTAGAGAACAAGAAATTTTACTTTCACTGAATTATAGGTGCAAACTCTTGAGTGGACTGCTAAAATCGCTTCCCCCAAATTAGACATGGTCTGATGTGTAAATAGTGGTAAAGGGAACGTCTGAACTTGATATGCCTAAGTCAAGTGAGAAATGGTTATGGAGTTCAAATCTATTTTCAATTTCAAAAGCTTAACAACTTATTTCAAGGCAGTAAAAAAGTTGTCAGGTTCACTGAAGTTTGTGGTACCTTTTGTATGCAAATATGATAATAAGCAACATGTAATATATTCAAAGTGGGATTGGCTATCCATTGCGCAAACATGCAAATACGAAAAATCAGTTTTGGTGAAGTTTAAATACATGTTAGTACAGAAGTCACGATGACTTTTTGAACATTCATAGCAATGTCTACAGAGTTTCCAATGAAATCTGACATTAAAAATGGACAACAGAAAACTTCAGTGGCTTGAAACTTTTTTCCTAGATCTCAATTGTGTTTTCAGTTGAAAAGGTACATCTAGGAGCAAACTACGGAGCACTTTCTCTTATATCTATTATTCACAGCAAACCAAAGATAAATCACACAGTAGCCATTATAACTCTATAGATTCAATCCTGTAGTTGCTGAAGCTCCTGAACATGTAATATTAGATCAAAAGAAAATGCCATGCTCTTCTTTTCCTGCACCATTTTATTCTTTTGCTAGAAAATTTAAAAAATGATTTTATAGCCCATACAGAGAAGACAGAAAAGAGAGTCATAAAATATACTCTGACTTTGACTCTTTGACTGATTAATAAAAATTCATTTTAAATTTTTGTTACTTTTGTTTCTCCTTATTATTTCTTTTCTTTTTCAATTCATACTGCAATTTGGAAGACTGGCTGCACAATGAAATAATCACCCTTTTTTTTTTGCTATCCTCAACAGCTTCCTAACTGCCCTTATCGGGGATTAGTTTAATTAATATGTTACACTGAATCAGTTGTACTTTATCCCAACTGACCATAAAAGTATCCTGAACATATAATACGTGAATTTCCTGATAATGCATTTTGAGGTGGCTTGTTATTACAATTATTATTAAACATTTAATTTAAATATATATTTGAATTAGATTCTGCAGCCTATATTCATTCAGATATTCATATTTATTTACCATTTTTGTAACCCACCCTGGTATAGGCAACACTGTAGAAATATAAAAACAATTCTGTTTTCCTATGAATTTTTAAAAAAGGAAAATATTTTAATATTCACTCTGTTTTCATTAAGAAACAGTATTAATGAAAAACTTTACATAAGATGAAATAGGATAAAGACAAAATCCAAGAAAACTTTACCTATTTGTTTTCTGTATTGATCCACAGGTATTTTTGCAGAAGAAGCATCCTTTTTTCCCATTTTTCCGTCTTTATGAACTCTGTAATAAAAGATTAAAAAATGCTTATGAAACTCCACAGCCATTTTAAATACAGGCCCCTTGCATCAACATATCAAATCAAGCAATACATTATATACATACAGGGAAAATATCATAAATAAGACAGAATTTGGTTATGGAGAAAATAATGTATATAATACATTATATACATACAGGGAAAATATCATAAATATCATAAATAAGACAGAATTTGGTTATGGAGAAAATAATCCATATAAATGCCTGATTACTACCACTTAAAATTACTTTCTTGTTTTGATTCAGATCAACAAAACTTCATACTCTTCTTTTTCTCAATGACCCAAGCAACAAGTGCTAGCTCCTATAATGTTTTACCAGTCACCTGCCAGCAACTTTCACCCTCCTTAAGAAGAAAAGCACATTTATAAAAGTCCATGACTTATTTTAATTCTCCTTCTCTTGTTAGTGATGGGAGGCAGAAATCTTGTGAAGTTTTAAACAACACAGTGTGTGTGTGGGGGGGGGAATACAATGTGTGTGGGGGGGAATACTAGCAAATCAAGGAGGAATCAACTTGAACTGTAATATTTAGTGCCATTCACAACTTATAAACCATAGAATATCAGATGAATGTATGCATCAACAAGGCATTTCAACATTACTCTAAAGCACGGGTGTCAAACTCACCGCGTCACGTGACATGTCACAGCGTATCGTGACTTTTTTTGCATTGCTGGAGTTGGGGTGGGCGTGTCCTCCGTATGATGCAACCGGCCCGCGGGCCAGCAGTTTGACACCCCTGCTCTAATTATGTGTTAACTCTTCAAAGATACACTACAGATATTAATAAATTTATCCCCTTTTATTTGAATTGTGAGCATCATTCATAAACTATATGGAACATTTACAACTGCCCCTGCTGATTCTGTTTGTCTGTCTGTCTATCTATACACACACACACACACACACACACACAATGGAACTACAGATAAACAACATAAATACATTTTTTTTGTTTGTTCTCTCCATATCCTACCTTCAATTCAAATATGAGGGACAAAAGAAATAAAAACAAAGACAATTAGATGAATAGATATTGCACCCAGCTAAGACTGTAAAAGCTAACTTTAAAAAAATGCTTATTGCAATTTAATATTTGCCACAAAACTTCAGCAATGAAAAAAAATGTTTGAACTCTCAGTAAAATACTTAATGGAACATAATGTCAATGTTATTTAAAAAAAGAAGAAGTTTGGTCTAATAAGATGAAGCACTTAGATTTGTGTGTGCTTCAAACTGTCACTGATTTTGTGGCTACCAAGACCTCTAAAACTGCTGTGACTTTTCTTTGTTCTTCAGAGCTGCTCAGTAATCATCATTCCTTTCAACTGCTTTTGATAGTTAGATAGCAAACTCCCAAGAAACCCACAGAGACATTAGCACATGCAGCCACAATGTCTAATAAGACAGCTATTTGCATAAAAGATCAGCCACAATTTAAAATGTCTTGCAATAGATGTGGAAAGGGAATAACAGATCTATATTAGCATGTACAAAACCAAGATTGTTTTCACAATTGAATTCCCAGGGGACCAAAGCTCATCACCTTTCCCTGATTAAAAAAAAATCCTGCAAGTTGCTATAAGCCTGTTAACTAAAATATGGATTCATAAGGAAAAGAATGTTGATTATTTATTCATCCTGTTGAGAAACAATTTTGTTGTAATCATCATACCATCTCATGAAATATTTTACAAAGGAAACTATCTCCTCTTTATACAATTAATCCAGCTTCCTTCTTTTTCCTTTTCTTTTTCCTTTTAAAGAAAGAACAATTAAGGAACGGTTGCTGGAATTGGGTATGTCTAGTTTCACAAAGAGAAGGACGATGGGGGACATGATAGCAGATATCTCAGGGGCTGCCACGAAGAAGAGGGAGTCAAGCTATTTTCCAAAGCACCTGAAGGCAGGACAAGAAGCAACGGATGGAAACTAATCAAGGAAAGAAGCAACCTAGAACTAAGGAGAAACTTCCTGACAGTTAGAACAATTAACCAGTGGAACAACCTGCCTCCAGAAGCGGTGAATGCTCCAACACTGGATGTTTTTAAGAAGAGACTGGATAGCCATTTGTCCGAAATGGTATAGGGTTTCCTGCCTGAGCAGGGGGTTGGACTAGATGACCTCCAAGGTCCTTTCCAACTTTACTACTACTACTACTACTACTACTACTATTATTATTATTATTATTATTATTATTATTATTATTATTATTATTATTATTATTATTATTATTATTATTATTATTATTATTATTATTTCAATTCTCTTTCTACTGTATGACCATGAGAAAGTCCTACTGATGGCAAATACAGCAGAAGTAATTTTTTTTTCATCAATCAAAATAGAGCTGGAAGGGACCTTGGAGGTCTTCTGCCTGTTCAAGCAGAAGACCTTATACAATTTGAGACAAGTAGCTGCCCAGTCTCTACTTAAAAACCTCCAGTGATGAAACACCCAGAACTTCTTTTTCTTTGTGCTGGCAGCATAAAGTGGAAATAACGGTGTCATATATAAGGGTTTGGCTTGGGACTGAAATATTGCATCAAAATGCCATCGCAAAGAGAAGTACCACCTCCCTGCCCCTAACCTGGCTTTCTAATTTCTAAGCAGCAGAGTAGAAGAGCTGGAACCCTTTTTCATAGTGAAACAGTGAAACAGTTCAGATAGGGCACATTGTCTCCACCTTAACATTTCTAACCACTCATTTCTCATCACAATAACAAACAAAATGAGTCAATTTGTGAGCAGGAGCATTTTTAATGAAAGTGTTCTGTAGGTTTTCAACACATGAGGCCAAGAGAGATGAAATTCAGGGTGGAGGTCCTGAAAAAATAAGCTGGTTTGTCCTCTAAAAGAGGTGAACTAAATAAGCTTCTAAAAACATTTTAAAAGTTCACATTACCATAATTGACTGGATACCCAGTATTAGGATTTGGTCTTAATCACTTGAAGGATCTCAACTAATAAAGAGTAGTGTACTTACAAACAGTTCCCCTTATTTTTGTTTCTAGCTCATCAAAAAACATTTTCTGATCCCAAACATCAAGCCTGCTTCAGGTTTATAAAGTTCTGATTTACCGGTATATCATAAACTAAGTTTTTTACATGCATGTGGCACATATTGCCCCCCAATGTGAAGTTGGCCTAAACTCTCCTATCCTTCCATAAGGGACTAAAAACCTTGGGGGCCCAAAGGGGGAACAGCACAGTGAAGGTAGTTGATTGAATTACAACAGATCCCACTTCCCTCCACCCCACCACACAGACACAAAAACCCTCACCTTGAGGTTTAGATACTGTACATGTATTACTTGTATGAAGCAACACCGAGATATATATTTCTATTTATTTATTTATTTATTTAATTTAATTTATATCCCGCCCTTCTCCCGACGGGACTCAGGGCGGCTCACAACATATTTAAAACACAGAGAGAGAGAGAAAGAGAGAGAGAGAGAAAGGCAGAGAGAGAGAAAGAGAGAGAGAGAGAAAGGCAGACAGACAGACTAAGTCTGCTGTAATTTTTGAAACAGAACATAACTTTGTAACTTTGTGGTTAGGTCTAAAGCCTGATTCAAATATTTGAAAAAAAATTGATAAAATTGACAAAAGCTGGATTTCCCTAAAATAAGAGTTCACACTGAATTTATATTTATAATTTATAACCTATAAATGCATCAATTCTGTCTCTTAAGAACCAAAGTTATTAAATAATAAAGTATCCAAAGTATTATGTGAAGCTAAAGCAATAAAACACTAAGAACTTTACCATCAACTTTAAACATTCCAGCAGTAGCAAAACTGAATGTAATATCTGTTCCTCCATATCACAGCCCCATTTTCTGCTGAACCAACACTATTAGAGACATTCCTAGATACCAAGTATTTATCAATGATGTATTTGGAAATATGTTTGATTTTTTTAATTGGGCAAGCACTACCTGGTCTCTGTGTGTAACAGTGCAGTAGAGGTTCATTTGACTCTTTCTGTAAATCTGCATTTGAAAGAAACTTTATCATACCAGTATGGAATAAGAAATTCTATTTTTGAATCTAAATTTAGAAAAAAAAATCTTCAGGCATTGTGTACTGACAGACCTTGGTAAAAATTGGCAATCCCTTGTTTATGTGTAAACCATCTGTTTTGTTAAATTTGCACTGTTCTTAATTTCCTAGAGATTTTTTAACCAACATTTACCAGAAGTCTTACCTGAGTATCACAAGAACTCTATAGTTATAGAAAATCTTATACAGTATAAGGTACGAAGTGGCAAGATTGACCTCTTTGATCAGAGATAAGACAACAAGTATTTTTATTAAAGACTAGAAACCTCCTATGAATTTTTTGTTGAAAATAGAAAAAAATGAATGGGTGATTTGTGGATTTGGTGATTAAAAGTGGTTGAACAGAGGAAGAAGGGAATTATGATATAATTTTAATAAGGGAGGAGAAGGAATAAGTTTGTAACTGTTATAAAGATCAGAAGTTTTTTCTTGATCTTTCTTTTTTTCTATTTGTATCTCTTTGCAGACTTTTTGTAGCTATTTTCTTTTCCTTTATTTTTTCTCTATATTGCTTCACATTTCTTTTACTTCTGCAGTGTAAGTAATGTTATATTACTTGTGTGCTACAAGCAAAATGTGTTAGATACTGTTTCAAGACTTAGAAATCTACCCAATTTTCATCCAGTATTAGCCAGCCATTATGTATGCACATGTACTTTTCTTCGTCAATCAACTCTCAGCAGTAATTATATCCCATCCTTAAATGAAACATGTTTAAATATATCCCTGATGGCACTTTTATTAAGTTGTTTATCTCACACTTCTTACACTA